CTGTCAGCAAGATTGGAACTTATACTCAACTACAAAGTGTTAAGGTACGTACTATCTCAGTGAAGATTGTCTTTAATTATACACATTGGATACAGCAGGTCATTTTCCGTTCCTGACTCTGTCAGCAAGATTGGAACTTATACTCAACTACAAAGTGTTAAGGTACGTACTATCTCAGTGAAGATTGTCTTTAATTATAGCTAGATTTTCAAACATCAATGGTCGGGCGTAGCCAAGTAGTAAGTGCATCGGACTATGAATCTGAAGATACATGGTTCGCGTCCCCTTGTCACTATGCACCTTAGAACTCATGAGTGCATTATAAGAGTTATTCAATTAGAGTAGCCCAAGTGTTGTTAACTAAGTATCACCATCATCAAGTGGTCTGTCCCTAGACAGGTCTGAGACACAATAGTTCCATTCATTTAGCTCTGTCTTCAGGTGTTCTCTTCATATCTCCATCAGTCCTTTCTTAATTGACATCATTAGCATCACCATTCTTCAACTTCCTCTCGATCTTCCCACGATTACTTCCTTCGTCAGGCCATTTCCTCTCAACACATGCCCAATCCAGGTATCAGTCCTTTCTTAATTGACATCATTAGCATCACCATTCTTCAACTTCCTCTCGATCTTCTCCCAAGTAATCTTCCCACGATTACTTCCTTCGTCAGGCCATTTCCTCTCAACACATGCCCAATCCAGATTTTCTTCCTCTCAATGACTGATGGGACAAGTCCACATTCTTCTCATATTTTTCTTTTAGTCCAACTTATTTTCATGATTATTTTCCAAATCCGCATTTCAAAACCTTCCAATCTCTGTATGTCTTCCGTACACATTGTCCAACTTTATTGTCTTTTCTTACACACTCCCCGCGTCTGGCATGCATACGCCGCTGCACGCCTCAGGTGTCTTTGTTCAAAAGAAACAATCAAACATTACTAATCTAAACTGTTTGATGCTTGGATAATAATACAAATGTTCAACCGGTGGCACAGCAGTAAGTCCGAGGGATTATGGCGCTAAAAATTGGGTTTCGATACCTACGAGGAACAGAGCACTGATAGTCCATTGTATAACTTTGTGTTTAACAAACGAATAAAACAGTACAACTACATTACATGCAATCTGTTTATTTTAGAACAAATCCACATTGAGCTATCTGTTGTGTCCACCACGAGGAATCCAACCTCATATTTTAGCGATGTACTTAGCGCTGTCCTACCTGGGGACGTTAAACAAATATAATTGACTGTAACTACTACCGGAACATAAAAATATCGTACATCAAAATATCATAAACTTTAAGTATATCAATGTAGCTACTAGCAAGCTTACTTCTAATATCTCACTGTTCCACAAGTTCTAGCAAGCTTACTTCTAATATTTCACTGTTCCATATGTTCTAGTAAGCTTACTTCTAATATTTCACTGTTCCATATGTTCTAGCAAGCTTATTTCTAATATTTCACTGTTCTATATGTTCTAGCAAGCTTACTTCTAATATTTCACTGTTCCATATGTTCTACAA